CTTTTTGCACCCACTAACAGTCCTAACCCTATTTTTTCAGATTATATTTTTATATTGTAATAACTAATGTAAAGTCCCATCCATGCGATTTCTTGTGTATTCAGTTTGGATTAAAAATCTCCTTCGGAGATCATTCGGACACACATTCCTCAGATAACAATGAACTCATTTAACTTTTGCAGAATTGGACTTTGACTCTTGATTTGGGTTTAATCCTGTCTCTGGTTCGAAAGGATCAGTGAGGACAAGGTAACAGCACGAGTAAGTACTGTACTACTACTACTACTACTACTACTACTACTACTCTATATCTGTACTACTACTACTACTACTACACTATATCTGTACTACTACTAATACTACTACTACACTATATCTGTACTACTACTGCTGGACTATATCTGTACACTGCAAAAGGTGACAAAATATAAGGTAATGAATTCTTGAATCAAGTCTTTTTTCATCTTAATTTTTGTATATTCTGACTTCCTTAAAACCAAATTTTACCAATGGAACAAGCCGTTTAGTGTTATTTCCAGTGCTATTGCGAGTTATGTCTCATTCCAAGGAAGACATTTGTTGAATTGTCTTGTATAATTTCAAAACAAGACATTTTCACTTGTCCCAATGGCAAATCTTGTTTTTAGATTGTCAAAAGGAACTCAAGTTAAGATAAAAAGCACTGGATTCAAGCATTTATTACCTTATATTTTGTCATTTTTTGCACACTACTACACTATGTTTGTGCTGCTACTACTACTACACTATATCTGTACTACTACTGCTCCACTACAGTATACTACTACTACTACTACACTACACTATGTCTGTACTACTACTACTACTACTACTACTACTACTACTACTACTACTACTACTACTACTACTACTGTTACGACCCAGCTCGGCTAGGGTAAGGGCGGTAACAAATAAAACCAAGATGTAAAAATGGTAAAGCAAGTATTTAATAACTGGCAAGGACATGATAAGTAGACATAACTCAAAAAGACACAATACAGGACATAAGGGGGTAACTCAACGCTACCAAAATAAAACCTAGACTGAATCTTCACGCTAACACACATAGAAACTAAACACAACACTGGCTGCTGTCTCAACCGATGCAAAGTGTCACAAAAACAAAACCTCAACGTGACAACCAAACCAAAATAAAAGCTGTATGGACTAGGTCTCTCTAGTCATTGCCACCACTTTTGACAATGACAGACGATGAGGACAAATGGCATACCAGCAACACACAGGCTGGCAGCCCCGAACAGGTGCGGAGTGTGGCCTTAAGTGGAGAGTGACACCAGGTGGGGAAGTTGAATAGGCCAGGTGCACCGCTGCTCCTCCAATCAGCACCTGAGTCACGGACGTCTGGGAGGCGGGAGGCACAGTGGTTCTCCAATCACAGGCCAGGGATCTCAAAACAGGAGGAGTTACCACCAGTGGGGGCGGGTCCCAGCTCAAAAGTGGCCAAAATGACATGCACTGACATGCTTGCAATACCACCCCGGGCTGATGGGGGTGGACCCAGAAGAAGAATTAGCCAATGCTAACATATAGCTTTGGTGACCTCTCGAAAACGTCTTTACAGGATGGACCAAAAGTTGGCTCTTGGCCCAAAGCTCCGTTCCACATGTGTGTCAATGCTGAAGGGGGTGAATTTTTTTGGTCCACTCTAGTTTACTTGCTGTGAATTTTTGAAGTCTCTCGTTCAAATGAATGGAGCTTGCGCCGGCTGACGCATGCGCAGATGCGTTTTTTCACAATTTTCTTGTGGGCGGGACCACTCGCGGCCATTTTGGATTGCTCCAGTAAAGCACATTTTTTGGCCCATTAGTTAGAACGGCGGAGATAGGCGTGACTCTGTCCGTTAATATATACAGTACTATGGTTGCCACACACACACACACACACATAACACAAAAAAACACACAAAATACAAAACAGGAGCAATTTACAAGCCTAGGGCCGTAACACTCTTCCCCCTTAAGTTACAAAACATAACCCATGTTTTGTAATCACCAATTCGTAAGATACTCACGTGATGAAGTGGAGTGAGGTGGGATTACGAACCCCCGGTTGGTTGCAGGGCCAGATCTCAGGACGCCAGGTTAGCTGCTCCAGTCCCCTGGAGTGAGCCAGGCACCCTAGGAGCCAAGCTCCATCCCAGAGTAACTGGAGGAGGAAGACATGACCAGGACACGTGCACAGTTGATCAGGCCGGACACAAGTCACTCCTGAATCACTCTCCAAATACAGGTTGCCATTGTTTGGACCACCAAAACAGCAGCCACCATTCCACCACCCAATCTACTAACACCACATCTAAATTTCAAAAGCCAATTAACATGTCAAACATCAATTTGGGCCGAATCACTTACCAAATACACATACCAATTAACCATACCGCTTTGAAGGAATAGGGTGTTTTTATCACGGACGAGCCCCCAAGTTATGTTACAACCCTAAACTTGGCTCTGAGAAGGGGAAAGGAAATGTAACATAAACAACCAGATGTAATTGGCAAAGTAAATGGCCTTTTATTCATAGGCAGAAAAGGTGAGAGTACTGAACAAAACTTAGAGTCAAAAAAAGGAAAAGAAAAAGTTTTTCTACAGGTATCAAATCAAAGTTCTTTAGATGTCTCTTAAAGTGGTTCTCACCCCCGCTCCTCGGAGCTTACGTCACTCACATTTCCTGTTCAAATCTTCCTCTAAATGGGCGTAGCCTGGAGGACTAAGGGGGGCGTGAACGAGACTGGGCCGTTTACATTGCTCTGGGCGGGGGGCTGCTGACGTCAGGTCTTGCTTCAGACGTCAGGTCTTGCTGCCGCGCCAGTGTTGGCGCCAGATTCAAAATTCAAATGTAGTAATACAGGTCGCCAGCAGATGGCGCCTCACAGACGGTTTTAGGCAGAAAGTTTAACTTTCAACTAATTTGCACCAAAGTGACAAAATTATGACCAGGATATGTAGACAACACTATTGGACACTCATTTATACCGTTTATCAGCAAAAAAAAGTGGATTTGAGGGTGAGTTGTCCTTTAAGGTCACACAAGGTCTCACATAAGGTCTCTGAAAAAAGGTCTCTCAAAAAGGTCTCAGTACGGTCAACTCTCCAAAACGCGGCAGTCTCTCAACGGTGGCACACTTGTCCGTCCGGACGTCACACTGCTGTTTTATTGGCCGCGGGCAGGTCAGCTGGAGCTCCTATAGGCCATACAGGAGGATTCCGGGCAATGGCAGCGTCCAGGAGGCGGGCCCTTGGTTTGGCGGGAATGAGACAGACACCCACAGACAGGAGAGACGCACCGGGAGAGGGAGGGGATGCTTGCGCAAAACGGCCCAGACCTGGAGCCGTAACACTACTACTACTCCACTGTACTACTACTACTACTACTACTACTAGTACTACTACTGCTACTACTGCACTGTGTTATCCAAGTATCTGGGAGCCGTTATCTGTGACAAAATTGCATGTTCTACACGTGTCTTTTACTGTGGACAGGGCGTTGTGTTGTGCGTTAGTTTGACTCTGAATTTGTTGAGCCTTCGAGAAAGAAAGATAATTCAATTTGATTTTGTAAAGGCCTAAATCAAAACAGCAGTGGTATCAGAGAACACATCGGGGAATCTAACTGAGGAATGATAGAGTGATAATAAACACATAGGAGCCATTGGTCGATAGGGAGCAGGACAATAATGATAATAGCTTTATTTGTTTTGCACCTTTCAGACATAAATAGTTCAAAGTGCTTCACAGCAGCAGAAAACAAACACAACAAAACAGAAAACAAACTCAACAAAACAAAAGCATCTCATACAAGTCCGTTACAGTAGTTACACAACCGCAGAACAAATATTTAAAAGTATATAAAAACCCAAAGAGTGGATAATTAGTTTATAAAAGTATATATAAAAGTCAAAGGAGGACCACATGTTAACAAATGTAAGTAAGGCGCCGTAAAGATGGCGCCGTGGCAAGAGCTCTGGTGTGTGTCTGGTGCACACTGGGGTAGTCTTGCACAGTTTTTCCAATGTGGTTTTACTGCAAATGGCAAATAAATGAATCTGATCTGAATCTGAATCTGTAAAGTAAGTAAGGGTTTATTTGTATAGCGCATTTTCACAGAATAGGGTCACCCAAAGCCAGGGCTGGACTGGGACCAAAAAACAGCCCGGGCATGTTTGCCTCCTTGACAGCCCGGCTGTTTTTTTTTTATAGTTATTTTTGCAGTATGCGGAAACACAAACTGTAGAGGCTCAAGATACAGTCAGTTTCAACAATGAAGTGCAATGGTCACATTGAGATTAATAAACATGTCACTACAGAGTGAGGGAGACGGATAGCACCACAACTATTGTTTGTTACAGGGAAGAGGGACATTTCAAAGAAGTCTGAAATGTATAATGTTTGCCAATGGCTGTCATTAAATCTGTTTTTACTTTTGGGCACAACCAACATGAACCGTAAATGCAAGACAAAAACTTACGTACCCCAGCTTTAATTTAGTGAGTTTAGTTGCGCTGTATTTATTGCGTGAACTGGTTACGCAAAGACAAGCACACAACAAGCACAGTATGGTACCGTGCGTGTATATGGTCTAGGATACATAGCCACGTTACGGCTGCGTCCAGTGGCTCACAGGCAGCCGCTGGACATGGGAACCGCTGTCCAAAGCGGCCGCAGCATCTCCAAAAGGCGGCAGGAGGATGTGGAATTCCGTTTGAGTTCAAACAGCAATCCACAGCTTTCATGCGGAGCACCCAGAAAAAAACCTATGCAGACACAAGGAGATCATGTAAGCTCCACTCAGAAAGGCCCTGTTCCGACCGGGATTCAAGAAGCAAGAGTGCTAACCACTCAGCCACTATGCTTAAATGTGTACTTGTGCTAGCCCAGGGTCAAAATTACCCACCACAGATGATTAAAAGTAGAAGAAATATTATTAGGGTCTGGTGTAACGTCTTTCATGTCCCCTCAGTCAAAATGCCCAGCCTCCGTGGGTTCCATGGTCTCGCCAGCCTCCTCTGGCTGTGGCTGGCGTCTCTGGCCCCATCCTGTGATGGAGGAAACATCCTGGTGTTCCCGGTGGACGGCAGTCACTGGATCAACATGAAGGTTCTGATCCAGGAGCTGCACTCTCGCGGCCACAGCTTCACCGTCATACGAGCCTCCACCAGCTGGTATATCCCCCAGAAGTCCCCCCTCTACACAGCCATTGACGTCCCAATGGAGAAGAACGTGGAGAACTTTTTCGAGGTTTTTCTGGAAGGACAAATGAAGGTGATTTGTTTTTAGTCTTCGTCAAAATAATTGGAGGGAACATAGGGTCAAAGATATGTGGTAATAATAGTGATAATGATAATACATCAAACTAACATAGTGCTTTTTTGGACACTCAAAGAAGCTTTACAAAACATACAAAAAGAACAAAAGAAAAATGTTAAGGAAAGGCAAGGAGAAGCAGGTGGGATTTGAGAAGTGATTTAAAGTTCTGTAGTTCTGATTAATTTCAGTTCAATTAACTCTTGTATTGCCAGGGGCGTTCAATACACTGCCTGATCTCAAAGCTATGACTAAACGCGACGTTCCGTTAGCCATTAGCAAAAGATCCTGAAGTGGGACTTGTTATCCACACAGGCATGTTTTACGTAAATCGCTGCGAGTACGCCCCAGCGTGTAAACCCTCGATCAAAGGGGTCTCGGTGTAAATGTAAGTGGCAACCTGCGATGTCCAGGGCCCGATCAACACCCCCCACGATCTTTGAGCTAGGTCTAACGCGACTCTCCGTTAACCTTTAGTAAAAGACCTGTATGTGAGATTAGCTACCCACACAAGCACGGTTAAGCAAAAATCGCTGCAAGTAAGTCCAGCATGTAAATCGTCAGACCAAGTTGTAAAACGAGCCACCACTGGTTAATAATTTCCAGTGGCGCGTATTTGCTTATACTTTCGCTCTACCAAAAGAGTAAACAGAAGAATATCTGAGATTCAAAGTCACTTTTCTAGGAAAATCTATGCTCCAAATACGAGTCATTATTGCGGCAAATTCAAGCCAGTAAGACTTGGATCCACGTTGAATTGTCTCAGTGAAAGTATCCTCCCTCAACAACACTCCAAATTGTTTGAAGATTAAATTTTATACATTCTCTATTGTCAATTATAACAGCATATAGCTACAGATATTAGCTTCCAGCTACTAGCCTAGCATTAGCTAATACAAGCATCTTTGCCTCCAGCTATTACCATAGCCTTAGCTATCTCCATCAAAGAATGGAAAAGCTCAGACAAATATTCTTACCAGTTAATCTGAATAAAACCACTCCAGTGAACTCTAGATAGAGCATACACACAGACTTAGCTATAAAACTCCTGGCATTGTCTCAAACACAGTTAGGACAAACTAAAAGCCAACTCTGTGACATGAGCAATAGAGCTCTATTACAGCAGAACTTCGCCTCCGCCTCCTGCTGAGAACTCCGCCTCCTACTGAGAGCTCTACTTCCTGCTGAGAACTCCGCCTCCTACTGAGAGCTCTACTTCCTGCTGAGAACTCCGCCTCCTACTGAGGGCTCTGCTTCCTGCTGAGAACTCCGCCTCCTACTGAGGGCTCTGCTTCCTGCTGAGAACTCCGCCTCCTACTGAGAGCTCTGCTTCTTGCTGAGAACTCCGCCTCCTACTGAGAGCTCCGCTTCCTGCTGAGAACTCCGCCTCCTACTGAGAGCTCTACTTCCTGCTGAGGGGGGGGTGGGGGGGTGGGGGAGGGGGGTTGTAGGAGAAATTAACTGAGAACTCCGCCTCCTATTGAGAGCTCTGCCCTGTAAAGAACTTGGACAGTGAACGTTCGTCATCGGTCATAATCAAAATTATGTTGTGTCAACCTCTCGCTTTGTTTGCGGAGCTGGACACAAAGGGAGGGGGGGGTTGTAGGATAAATTAAAATGACCTCTTTCCTCAATCAAAGACATTTTGTTGTATATTGAGACATATTATAACTTCTGTCTCCACTGTGTGTAAATCACCATGGCAACACCCTTCAGCCCAACAACTCTACCAGATGTGAAGATTTACAAGGACCCACAGGAAAGACAAACCAGTCTGCTTTGGAACCACGGAGTGACCAGACCTCCCTGGGCTCTGGCCTGGGCTCTGCTCAGGCAACAAAGGGGTTTTGGGCCTCTTAGATGGCCTCAAACCTCAGCTCCACGTTTGAGAGGACTTCCACAACCCTTCAATAGCCTCCAGCTTCAACCTGAAGGGGTTGCTGAGTTTTGGCACCTAGACTGTGGATCGTGGGAGGACTTGGTTCAGCCACATGATACAGCCGCATGGTCCAGGCCCCGTGGACAAGAAGCCTCCATCCAACACCATCAAGACCCAAGGACTGCTATTCACCAAAGGCTATTCTGGTTGTATGATCTGCTCTCTTGCTGCACACAGTTGTTGGCTTTATTAAAACCTATACTTCAAAGAATACTTCTCTTACCAAGGCTGAACACATGCAGGCCTCAGCCTATACCAATCCATTCATAGACAAAGGTCTTGCTTAGCTCACTTTAGCCTAGCATTTTAACAATGTATCTTGAAATCAACGTTTCCTTCATGTTATTCTTGACAATTTGCATATTTCATATCTAGTCTGTATTGTGTATACTTCATTAAATCTACAAAACCATCTTTGTCTGAAAGTGATATTTGTACTTTTAACTCCAGAAATTGGGTCACTGATTTGTAAAAGAATTCACTACCTTCAGATTCTGTTGAAGAGAATTGGACTAACTAGCTAATTAAATAATGAAAGGACTCATGAGATTACTTAATCAATAAATGAGCCAATTAATTGATATTGTGACGTCATATGCACGTTATCAGTTGGGAGTTATTCCCTGGTGCCCCTAAATAAAGCTATTATCAATTATTGTATTTATTACATGATTGTTTTTGATCCAATTCTCCGATATCAGGTACATAACTTAAGTTATGTGTGATATCAACATTTTCTCACCCTACAGCCTTAAATCACAACAGTAGTTATCTCGGAGGACTTTACACAACCATCAAATTTGCGAACAAAAATCCAAGAATCCAACAGTTCAAGAAATGCAGTGATAAAAAACACATAGAGCCATTGGTCCATAAGAGGCACAGACCAATGTCCATAGATGTCGCTGAATGTCGAGTGTCCTGGATCATCACCACTATCCTTAGACCCTCCTGCATCTGCAACTCTTATAAAGAAAACACAGTGCTAAAATGTTGAGAAACCTCCAGTAGGCCCACTTTGGGAGAAGGGCTGTAGATCCAGGACACAGGCTACAGAACGAGGACTGAGGCTGATGGGTTGTGGGTGTGAGTTCCAGAGAGTGGGGGCAGCTGAAGCGACGTCTCTGTCCTCAGGGTTCAGAAGGATTGGTCCCCTAAGGTCGATGTTTAATCCTGAGGGGAGTGTGGAGGTTGGAGTCTGTGGATCTGAAGCGGTGACGGGGACTGTGATAATGGTGGAGGCCAGTGAGGTGTGAAGGAGCAGGTTGTTGTGGGACTTGTTGTTGAAGAGGAGGACATGAGTAAATATCTTAAGGACAAATTGAATGAAATGATGCATAATGGGTTTAATATGGACTTCCATATTCCGTCAAGCACAGACGTGTCTTAGACCGCACCTGCTGCTGACTGTTGCACTGACCATTTATCAAAAACCATTCTACCAATTCTCATACCCCATCACACCATTCCTAACTATTCACACCAACCCATTACCCCACCCCTCCCATTACACCACACAAATCCACCCCCACCTTTCTTCACCATTCTAATCCCACATTCAATCCTTTACCTCCATTTTAACACCACCCCCTCATTTTTCCTATTACCTTACTTAATATCCACATACACACTCTCAACCTTCCACCTACACCCCAATTCAAACATACTAATTTCAATCAAAAATTTACCCCCGCGACTTTTCATAAGTTCTTACTCCTACATGAGATAGTTGGTAGAAATGTTGATGGCAGCCGCGCTTATAGAATTTATATGAAGTCTGTGTCAACGAAAATGTTGCGCAGAATGGTACTCAAGTGGGAAACTGAACTGGGTGGCGTTGATGAGCGCACTGTTGGGAGCAGCGCGCTAACGGAGAGTTTGATTTGTTGTACAGGTCGTAACATGTGTCTTCAAGATCTTACAATTGCGGATGTCTTTGGACGGAACATAAAACATTGGAAATGAAAGTGAACGCGAACATTGTCTTGCCATGGTGGTCTGAACTCGCTGCCCCCAACAGATAAGACCCGTGTACGGAGGTTCGCGATGTGTTCACCAGAAATTCGGTTCAATTGGATCTATAGTGTATTTGCCTGTGTTTTGATCTGCCACATTACTCACATAAATTGTCCCCTTCAAGGCAAATGTGTTTTTTTTCTCCTGTGTGTCTGTGGCTCCTCTCCTATCTTCCACATTCAATTGGCCAAGGCTGAAGTTGATAACGGGACTCTTCTTCAACACCAGTTTCACACTCCACAGCACCCAGCTTTGGACGCCCCCCCTGCCCCTCTCCTCCTCCCTTTCCCCCCCTCCCTTCCTCTCATTCCTCCATGTCTTTCCTGGCTCATCCAGCCCCTCCTGATAGCCCACATTGGTGAAGGGCGGTCGGAGGTTTTTCCCATGAAAGAGGTCAGTGTTTTATCCAAAACATACTGTGTCTATCCAAAATGTCTGTGTAAACGTGTAAACTGTCTCTGCTGTTTCTTGCTTATATTACTGGCTCTTTCTGTTACTTACGTGTTTACAATTACAATTTATTTGTATAGCCCTAGGTCACAACAGAAGTCATCTCAGAGGACTTATCTTAGTTCCGACCAAACTGTTAATTATTGGTGCTCCAAAAGAGGCATATGACGCTCTTACCTATGCCTTTCGGAGAATGGGAATTAAAGAGCTTCTAATATAGAGAATACTCAGCTGGAAAAGTGAGTAAACCTTGGGGAGAAGAACTAGGGACAACACCTATAGTGTGCAGGCGTAGACCCTATTAATTGATGAGAAGGGGATCCGCTCTTCTCGGACGGACAGGCTAATGTATCTAGGACGCTTACGCTAGCTAGAGATAGCTAGAACGTGGTCATGTGGAGAGCGCTTGAACTGTGTGACAGGTCGGTTGCAAGTGACTGAATGCAGATTTCTTCCCAGGCTGGGTGGAGCGGGTGCAGTCCTGCAGGCGTAGATGGAATGAGTTGCCTTAGGGGCTAGCGAAGACGATCCAATGACAAACAGGACGTAAGGT